CTGGTGGGGGGGAGAAGCGGTGGGGGGGGGGTTGTTCATGTTGCTGCGGTCTGCACTCTGGACGTTAGACGTCGCTGAAAATTACACACTGTAGCTTTAAGAGTAAAAATATATACTCTTTGAGAGTTATTTTCACTTGGAAATAATTTCCCAAATGTTAATTCCTTTTATTTATTAAATAGCAAAATATTTTCTCTCTGAACCTTTCTACGGTCTAAAACAACATAAGCTTTTGCCATCAGTGTGAATTTTTTTCTCTCAAATACATTTATTTGAAAATTATTTTCTCCTTTCAGATTGCCGTTTTGCTTTAATTTTATTTAAAAAACTAAAATAACTCAGTAACACACTGGACATTTTTAATAAAAGGAAATCCTGGAAAATGCGTGTTAGCTTCTGGAAAAGACTTTATAGTCCCGCACTTGGCAAATTGAGGCTAATCGGAAGCAAGCAAATAGAAGCCCACAGATACACAACTATACCCTACGTTGTGTTTCTGCCTCACATAGAACCTAAATAAAGTCAATTAAAGTTTGTTGTGGTGATATGACCAATTTAAAATGCATGAATACTTTTGCAGAGTAGAGCATCCTGTATGTATTTGCATGTGAAGTATGCATGAGGTTATCCTCTGCATATTGCCAGCGAGTGTGAACACTGAGCCTCCCACACCGACACCCAATCAGCTCCACTATAAAGCTTTCCCAGCCTTTAAGCTTGACTGCCTCTGACCTATTTATGCACAATCCTAAATGCTGCAAAACAGACCTCGAGACCTAATGAAGCTACAACCCCTGGAATACCGCAATTTCTCCTTGTTTTTGCAGATGGTGTCCAAGGAAACAAGGGGCCCCATCACAGCTGTGACAGTGAGGAAGAATGCAATGGATTTGTAAGACAAACTGACCTGCATTTGAGCAGCAGGCAAGTTGACATCAGCCACCATTTCAGTACAGGGGTGTTCCACCTGCAGACGGGGGTTGAGCTCCAGGAAGTAAAAACTGTCATCCTGGCTGTAGAGGTATTCTACAGTACCTGCACTGACATAACCGACCATCTTAGCCAGCTTTACAGCACACTGGAGGGAAAGAAAAACAAAGCGTAAAATAAAACACAATGAACTCTGTGAAATTAAGGCTTTAATCTTATTGAAGGGTTCTTATAAGTTTTCAAATGTTACATTTAAGACTTTATAAGACCATTTTAAGACCACTTAATTAAATTTAATACCCATTTCAAAGGTATACTAAAAAAGAGAATTCCTGGAATGTAAGAAAATGTATTAATTTAAATCGGATTGAATTTCAGTTGCCAACTACACACAGAACTGTGTTGATGGGGGTATAAACGCAGAACAATTAGGTTAAATTTTGAAGCAGGCAAAATTTTGCTTCGCTTAATTTGCAGGAATTAAGAAATCTCAACAATTGTTTTAATTTGCATGGCAAAATCTAGTCAGGGACAGGATGTTGCTGTAAGCTACAGTGAAGGAGGCAGCAACGAAAAGCTCTTTTAAATCAAAGTTGAACATAGCGAAAATAATTATGACAAACGTTGTGTAGTCAATGCTCATAAGAGGATGTTTTAATTCAGCCCAAGAATAACTGTTTCTTTGTTCTACCTCCAGCACAGACACCAACCAGCTGATGGCTTCTCTCCCACACTTGGCCGCTGTCTGGCCGAAAGACTTGAATCCTCATCTCTGCTTGTTCTATCTCTCGCAGTTTGCCTCTAGAGGCTAGCTCCGGCCAGCCGTAGCCTTTCTCTACCTGGCAGATGTACAGCCGTCCTACTCTCAGCCTGCTGTAGCCTCTATCCTGCCTTTAGTGTTCCGTCCTCCCGATGGACTAATATGATCTTACTATTTTGCACTGATTTACCGCTACTCCTGTATAGGCTCCAGAATGCCGTCTCACCTTCCCTGTGTTATCCGGATAGACAAAGTACACTATTACCCCTTTCCCAATGGCCGAAAAAACCTGTGTAGACTCGAGAACAATTGACTTTTAGTGGCAGTGAGACTAGCTCACTGACCCGAGTCACCCGGGTCAAACGAATTGGCAAGCAACCCAGGTTAAAAATCACCTTCAAACGGCTCGGCTCCAAACGCCATAGCAGCTAATAGCTGTTAACTTGTTGGCTATCGAAACCCTGAGCTTTTCTGAATATCTTTTGTCAATCTCAAACGATGCATTTCCAATATCCAACACGACACTTGACCTGTTAGCTTGCTGGGCTTATATAACAATGGGTGAAACTAAAACAAAATATCAGACCTATGACATCCAATTTCCTACTTTAAGACTTTTTTTTTAAGTATCAAGCTTTAAATGTGTAAATGTAGGACTGTTAAAACTGTTTAAGACCCTATAAATTGACCCCGAAATAAATCATGATGAAATCTATAAGTCAGGACACAGTACCTGTTCCATATCTTCAAATATATCAGAGGTAGCTATGGTTGCCGGAGCCTCCTCAATAATTTTCTGATGACGTCGCTGAACAGAGCAGTCCCTGCCAAACAAGGAAATTGCATTTCCATACTGATCCGCCAAAATCTGCACCTCCAGGTGACGGGCATGCTTGGCAAGCTGCATGACAAAGATGGGGGATCCTGGCACTTCTGCCTGAACCTAAACCGCCAGAGGAGAGTACGATCATGCTGTTAGTCAGTGCAGCAAAATAAATCCACTCAAAATGTAGGGAGGCCAGGTTGTTTTTACCTGTCTGAAGAGGTTAGGGAAGTCTTCTGCACAGTTGACTTTACGGATACCTTTTCCTCCTCCACCCTCTGAAGCTTTCACCATTATTGGATAACCAATCTTTTCTGCAGCCTGGAAATAGATCAAAGATTTAAGAAGCTGTCCAAGCATGGTTTCAGCTCCTGCACAGTAACGTGTCAAAGACATGCTTACTTTGAGGCCTTCTTCCACGTCATGGATACAGCCGCTCTCATACAATTCATTAGGCACATTGATGATCTTCTTCTTTTGATTGCTTTCTGACCAGTCCACTGTCAAGCCTTAAAATAGAAAGGGAAACAGCTATTTTGTATGTTGAATTGGTAGCTGCAGCCCTAAAAAAAGAGCACACAGCGCCTTTGCTGTTTTGACTCAACGTGCAGCTGAAAATGTTTTTTTCTCGCCATTTTTAAAACGTATTAAAAACACTTTTTTCCTCTCTTTGATATTTAACCCAGAAATTACCAGCTTTTGTCCTATACATCTTTACTATCTTAAACGTTCTATATGCTCATTAAATAAAAAGGAGTTTGTTTCAGTTTTTTGGCTTAAATGTTGTTCAGCACTTTGTTGAGTAGTTATATACATATATACACTTTTCTTTTTAATTATTGAGTTGTATGGAATAGTTAAAAAAGGCAGAGACAAGAAAAAGCCACAGCCACTTTAACTTTAGGCGCATTTTCAGAGTGATATTAGTGGAAAAACTCCCAAACAGTATCAAAACAATAAAATCATTCAGTTACCTGATCCGCTCCAGGGTAGAGTTGGAATACCAGCCGTCTGAGCTACAATGGAGGAGGCAATCTTGTCTCCAAGAGCCCACATAGCCTGACTTGGTGGACCTAAAGAACAATTTATATAAATTAAGAAAATCTGACCTTAAAAAAAAAGAGGGACGGATAGTAGGAAGAACACAGTAGCTAAAAATTCAACAGAGGGACAAATGTCCTTTACCCATAAAGGCAATGCCATGTTTCTGAAGAAGCTCTGGGAGTTTGGGATTTTCCGAGGCATGACCCCATCCTGCCCACACTGCCTACAATGGTGGGTGAAAACAAACAACGGATCAATAGCTGACAGCAAAACGATGACTTAGCTGTAGGAGAAATCAGCATATTCATTGTACCTGAACAGGTATGCGCTTTGCAATGTCAAGAATGAGCTCAACATTCGCATAGTTGTTGTTGTTAGTCCCTCCAGGCACGGGCACATAATGATCGGCCATTTTGATGTATTCTGTGAAACACAAAATGAATATGTGAAATAACAAACACACAAGTCTAACAATTCTCAGCCAGTCTTCTTACTGCTAGTCACTTGTTTCATTGTAACAGATAAACATCAAGGCTAGATGTTAACATAAGTACAAACACTAGTTAACATGCCACTGCTCTACTTAAGTGAAAAACTGAGTCATTTGGTTGAAAAGACATCACCTGATTTGGTTTATCATCACTTAAAATTATGGTCTAGAACTGAAGGGCTTCCATTTTTCACTTGTTTATTGTGAGAAAATAGAAGAATTTTACCAGAGTTAGAAAAAATAAATAAATTTACAACTAAGAAAAGGCTCACCTGCGTTGGCTTTCAGGTCTTCTGGGGTCACCATGACCACAAAACGGATAGCTCTTTCATTACGGAACATCTCGTAGGCCCAACGGCGGATGGAGCGCATGCATTTAACGGCAGCAATGCCATTGTTGGCAATTAGCACCTGAATGAAGAAAACAAATTTAAACAACCAACGGCCATTTAAGAAAATTTGTGTGATTGAATGAAAAGTTATGTTAAAGTACAATTTTGCTAAAAAGGCTAAATGACTTGGAGGTTTGTTAGTTACGACATTGCAAAGGAGGACATGCTGAGTTATGTACTAAGCATTTTGTGATGAATGTGTTCGTGGAATTTGTGGACAATAAATTTAATATATATAAGTGCACTGCAATATCAGTAATGGAGAATTTTTTTTTTTTTTTAATGCGGCAACATATATTGAACCCCAAATGCAACATCAGTATATAAAATACAGCTGTTTGGATACTGTATTTGGTAGAATATAATATTTCCTGACTTTAAACGGGAAATATGTTTCTGTGTCTTTCAGCATAGGTTTAGAACATTATCTTTGTTTAATTAAATTTTGGGTTTGTTTGCATTTATATTAGTCCTTTTTATTATTATTTTGCAAATCGATTAATCTGTCGGCTATATTTTTCAATTAATCGATTAATAATGGAACACCTAGAGGGTCCTTAAAGAAGATTTTTTACTAAATTATACCAGGTGAAACTAAAAGTTTTCCACTTGAGGAGTTCTGGATCGAACATTTTTTTTTTTATTATCTTAAATGCAAAATGTTAACATACTTTTTTACAATTTTGATCCAATTACTGCTCAAAGTGGGCCACTTTGTCAGCTAAAGGCATTTCTGACACTATACTCCAATTAATAATTAACCGATTACTTAAATAGTTGACGATTTTTTCAATAATAAAAAAAAATATGATTAATCCCATTAATTGTTTCAGCCCTAATTTGCACATAAAATAAAATCCAACACCATAAACAAAATACACAGAGATTTATGGTGGTATCAAATATGTACAAATTTAAGAGCTTTTAAGAAGCACAAATGCATAAAATTGACTAAGCTTTAATGTTGTAAAAATATAACTGTGAGCCTTCATCTAAAAGTATGACTGACAGCATTTTTGTTTTATAGGCTTTTTGTCATCATTTGAAGAGCGTGTCAATATAACATGAATTACCTTTTCAATGACTTTGTTGCCACCAAAGCGGGTGACAAATTCAGCGGGAGAAGCGACGGTGAAGTCCCGCTGGAGATCGATTCTCCTGCGATCTCTGCCCTGCTTTACCAAGTGTAGTCCTGACATGCTAGGTCTGTTTAAGAAAAAGAAAAGAAACACAAAAAAAACAAATATTTAAAGATTTAGTTTGGAAAACATAAGGGCACTTTGAGGTAGCTCAAACTCTTACATGAAAATCCTCAATGTGGGTCGAAAAAAATATATATATAGCGGACATGAGGAAATATTTATATTTAATTTTGATAAGATACTTAACAGTATAAAGTAAATTGTTTGACTTCTGTATCTCACACATAGTTGTTTGTTGGAGAGTTACACAAGTGCCCAGAAATATTTATGCTAAAGAAGTCCTGACATCTGGAGAAACCTGAAAACTAGAGGGGAGTAACAAAGCTAAAGGGATAGGTTCATTTGAAAATCAAGGATTTCTTTTTTTCTGCATAGGCACTAAAATGTAAACGGGCTCAACAAGAAATGTGAGCTCTAATTATCAGCCAAGATAAGAACTTTAAGAGACAGGGGGCGATGAGAACTATGCGAACTCATGGGAGGAGCTTTGCTACCAGCTGGCGGGTGTGGTAGGACTGAGCTTGTTCTGCTGGTTGGCTTTCTCTGGCCTGATCCTGAACGGTTACATCACTGCAGCAATCACCGGCATGAGGAGAACGACTTTCAGTTAATTCAACAATGTAATGCTTCAAGACATAAATGCCTGAGTTTCAGTGTTTTCAAAGACCCCCCGCCCAGTATTTCCAGTTGTGAAACTGTAATCCTTCTAAGAGTTTCCATGCTGTTTGTTGCTAGTTCTGATAACATTTTAAGGTCAAATTAATGCTTCAATAACATTGATCCTTTTTGAATAACCATTTAAATTAATTTATTTAGATAGAAAAGAGATTTTTTAGGTTCCAAGCTCTGAATAATATAGTATTTAAAGTTAAATGAAGTTAAATGAAAGACTGGCTAGAATCAGAGGAATAAATTCCATTTTAGACAAAGGTCTATCAGTGCTGAGCATTTCCCTCCAACTGTTATTTCAAAGACTTCTTCAAACCAAAACTTGGGAGCCTTTTTGTGGTTTTTTGAAAACCCACAGAGGCTTGTACACAAAGAAGCCTCTTTGAGCCAGTAAGCAAATAGGGAGGCTCCATTTTTCACACATACTGTAAAAAGGCTGATGCAGAACTGGAAAACTACACCAATGCTCCAACTCATACTTGGCCAAAAAAAAAAAAAACTGTTTTACATAGAAAAATGTTGTTTAATCACTAAATGATGAAGCCAATTATGAATAAAGAATAGTGTAAAACCAAAATAAAGCATAAACCCAGATTTGGATTCCAACCTTAAATTGTGCACAGGGCCATCGATGAGGTCAAAACCCATCTCATTTGTGCTGTCGGAGCTACCAGAAGAAGGTGAGACCGATCTCATCTCCTTGTCCTCCAGCGGCCCATCTAATCTCCCCTGGATTTCATCCTCTGAGTTCTCCTCCGATATGGAGCCCACGAGGAAGTGAGACTGCAAGGCTCCGACGGCCGGGTTCTTCTTGTCAGCACCGTCCTGCTGCGCCATGGCCGTCCGAAGTGAGCAGGCTGCAAAAACTACAAATGGGAAACAGTGCAGAAGCTAAAGCACTTATAAAGCAGGGTCAGAGTTCGTAACATATCACATCATATCAAGCTGGAGCATAGGGCTGTTTGTTAAATTGCAAAAGCAGGTTGCACAAAACTTAAATTTAATGATATTGCAACACTTGGGTCCAAACAGTGACCCAAATTGAGAACAGATTCTCAACAGGTACATTTACTAAGCATGTGAAGCCAGGTGAACGTATGCAATCATCACCTGCAAAACATTCAACAGTAGTCAGGAAAACATACATTAAATGCCTTAATTCAAAATAAACAAAATCAATCGACAAAACATATATATATACACATATCTATCTAGTACAGTATTGGTAAAATCAAAAATAAAAGAAACCTATAAAAAAGTGCATTAAGGATTTCTGGGCATGTCTAACCAAACAGACATTTGGCCAACTCTGAAGAGCTTCTGGAAAGGTTTTTAACCAAAAATATTATGATGCAAAATATATCTATAATATCAAACTGATTGAAAAAAATTCCATATTAACCAAAGGCATTAACATGAAGGTAAGAAAATAAACAGATAAATAATTATATCCACAAGTTTGTGAAGGGCATGTCTAAGTGGCTCCTATTCGGAATAGTTTCAAATAACTTACTAATTATTTGAAAATATAAATAATATATATTAAATAACTATAACCCATTAAATGAAGAGTTAGCTTCTTAAATATTGAGAAAAGTCAATAAGTTACCATTAAACACGCTTTACGTTCTTATATTAGTAAGAAAACAAGCTCTGCAAAAACATAAAAAAACAGCATATCTTACCAACAATAAAGTTACTAAATTACCACTAATGTCCCATTCGATGGTAAAACAGAAATATTAAGCGGTAAATAGACGCACCTTAACTCGCTGCCAAACCAACTAACTGCTCGGTTTACCTCCTGTTCGTTAAAGAAGGGAGAAAAGTGTCAGCAGGCACACCTTACCTATCGATAACTGCCTGCGGGACCAGAAAAACAAGCCGAGCACAGCAGACACACACACGGCTAAGGTGAGAAGCATCGTTAACAGGTAGTAACGGCTACATTTAGCCTGCTAACTGTCCGAATTCCCGTCAGATATAATATCATTACATAACTAAAGCCGACACTTCACCAAAGCTTTTGAGTTGAAGAGACAATAAAGATTAACTGAAGGGGAGGTTGGAGCAGAGACTAGCTAGAGCTGGGATGCTGCTATAGCTAGCTCACCGGGGAGACGCTAATACCATAATATAAAGTGCTATTATGAACACAGAATGGGACTCGAGTCCTATACCCTGCTCTGGCATCAACGTAAAATGCCCTTCAGTGCATAAATTTAGTGTAAATTATTTGGAATAAAATAATTAGTCGCCATAAACCTACCGGTGGAGATAAACTGGCACGTAATCCTGGAAAAGTTGACTCACATGAATCAATAAATTAACGGTGTCTTTCGCACATGTTTGCTCTGTAAAGATTACACACGCGCGCGCACAAAAAAAGGGGAAAGAAATCACATCATGATGAGGTCACACTGCTCAGACAGTCGCCTTAACAGCAGAGAATGGGGTGATGTGATGATGCGCAGCAGGTTACTCCGGGACAACGACCTCTGACAGCCACTTCCGCTCTAGATCTAGTTTAAATAGATAACGATACTCCCTGAAAAAGGGCTTCACCCATTTGCGCAATTGGATTAGGGAATAGTAGTAAATTTAGCGAATAAATATGCAGCTTTCTTTCTTTCTTTTTTTTATTTCCCATTCTTCAAATGTGGTACTTACATGTTTTAAACTTCTTTAATAAAATGCAATAAAATTAATTAAAACTAATTTGAATCAATCTGGACATAAAAACTGCATAATCTTAATCTATGAGATTAAACAGTGAAACCTGTAACTAATGAATTTTCCTTGTCAAACAGAATCAAATACTGTTGTACTTCACAAGTTTGCATTTATAAGAATTAAATTTTTTTAATAAAACAAAACCTATCTACAAAATTTGCAACCAAGGAGACTGTAAACTTCCATTCAGGAGCAATAAGCTTCGTTTATAGGACACACACACACACACACACACACACACACACACACACACATATA